GATCAGTAACAGTACCTGGATCCTTAGTGTACTTCTATTTAGAGTCACAGTGCCAGCCTTGACCTGTCAGTCAATAAGCAACTTAGCAATAAAAATTTGCAATACCCATTAATTTTATGAAGCCTCTTCTTACATGCAATAACCATGAACACTGGTGTGTGTTGACCCTCCAATCCTCTTCTCTCTGAACACAAATGACTACACTTCAGTAGACCAATCAGTGAAATGTAAGTTTGAAGATAACCCCACTACCATCAGTCTAATCCATGACGGGGACGGATCTGAATACAGACAAGAGGTGGATTGCCTGGTCCACTGGTGTGTTGGAAACTATATGGAACCTCTCAGACTGCCCAGATTCCCAGAGGTGGACAATCTGGGTCCAGATAGTAAAGATCATGGCCAGTTTTGTCAGGGTTCCCATGTTGGTGTGTGTGTGACTGAGAGTAATACATTTTTTACAGTGAGGATCTTGGAGGAGAAATTGGGCTGCCTACACAGGTGGAGCTCATCAGTCTAATCGGAGTGCCTGGATTAACAGAGCGGCAGAGCCTTCACTCAGCGCTGGTTGATTAAAGTTTACCTGTTGTCTCTCTGGCCTTCTCTTGTTGTTACCTATCACTAGCTGTTGACTGAGAGAAGTCGTTTAGTCCTTCTGTTCGCTGCCTCTAGGTTTTTTATCATTGGATTTCCAAGAAGAATCATTTCCACTGTTTCTCCTCCTGTGGATTGAAAAGCAAGTTACCTGCCTGCCCCCCTCTGCCGTTCATTTCCCACCAGGCCCCATCAGACCCCTGGTTCTCTGTATGACCACCCACCTCACACTAATCTGAGGATTAACCATCAACCTTTCCCCACACATGTCCCCTGGACATCTTCACTCCTCATTCTGAATTATTCTAAAGTAAACTCTCTTTCATTTCATCCCTGATCAATTGTTTCTAGTCACCTTTAACTTCACTCTCATTCTAGACGCCACTGATCGCGGAACCCTTTCCATTCTCCTGAGGGACCAAGATATATCTATTGTTTATTTCTTTGAAAATAAAACCAATTCCTTATTTCTAACCTGTTGATTCTGCATGTGGATCAAAAGATTAAATCTGGTCATCTAAATATTTCCTTTATCCTAGTCTTTTAAAGGGGCGACTGGCCACCAGTCTGTTGTGAAGCTGGAAATGCAAATAGTCGGTACAGGGTTTTATATTCTGGACATGGATTATCCACCACTGCCACAATACTTAAAACGCTTTGTCTGATATGGATCACTTGCTTTTTCAATGACCCTCTCTTTTTAAGGAAGAAACTATTCACAAAAGAATTGTATTCAAAAAATACAACCCTCCTCAGGAACTGATGGCTATCATGTTAAATGCCATTATGCTTTCTTGTTTTTTTGCATCTCCCTCACTCTGTAGTTTGGTTTACTCGCAAAACAGGACAGGTCAATACTAAGCAATTAATCTGCAGATGTACAGAGAGAGTATCATCAGAGCTGAATTTCTCTCTATATAATATTTAATATACTGAGCAAAACTATAAACCTAAAAATCGCACTTCAGACATTACCTAGAAAAACTACCCACAGAGAATTTCTTCCCAGCTTTTTTTTTTTTTCCCCCTTGGCTGTCAGTCTGATGAACACTTAAAATTCAGCATACCTAGAACAAAATGTTGGTCGTATTTGTTCCGTTCATGCCTACCATTCAAAAAAAAAAAACATATAAAAAGACAAACAAATATACATAAAGATACTGATAGAATATCTTAAGTGAAAATTAATGTTGGGGTGTACCAATTTAACCTGACTCCGGCAGATGGATTTGCTCCGCATATTCATCTGGAAACCTTCCGCTGAAGTAATTTTGGGAAGGGGCGAAAATACTGGTTAGCTGATTGGCCTATGTTGGTGATAGATTGGGCCAAATAAACCAATCAGATCAACTAAGCATACGACGTACTAACAGAGCGACGACAAAAACACAACCACAAGCCAGGCTACTCTTGCCGAAACCAGTCGGGAGAAGAGCAAAAACATCTTTTCCTCTGAGAAAAGCCTCCAGAGCAGTGTTTTGCTCCTCTTTCAGTGAAGAAATACTCTGTAATTCCGATAAAACTTGCTTGATAGCCACGCTAACGCTAGTTTCATCGGCTGAAGCCGCCATGTTCTTTAGACTGAACTGTCACGCTTCTCGTTGCGTCACACCTCAACCCGCCTCAAAGCCAATGCTGATTGGACGTTGCAGATCACTCCAGACTGATCTGCGAGTGAAACCTTGAAAGCTTGCGAGATCAGGAGGGTCTCACGAGGCTAGTACCAATTTTTAAATAATTAAAAACTGTTTTGTTACATTTAAAAGATAAATATGTATTTTCTTTGGTCAAAGTTGATGTTGGCTATACATATGTTTGCATATATATCGAACAACAGGATGTTTTATGGTTTTCTAGTTTTTCACTGAAACAGTTTAACTATGATTATTCTTCCTGAACACCAAATCATAATAAAGAGTTTTAAATAACACTGACCCATTACGTCATAAGAATCATAATACTCTGAATAACAAGACGGGCACAGCAAGAGTCTTCTAAAGAAAGAAGCACAAAGCGTTCCTGAATGCTCTACAACCTTCCATCAATCCCAGTGACATCTCTGGTTAGTTCTGCAGGTTAATTTGACACAAGCATCTTCACCACGAAGCAGCTGCCAGTGGGCGAAATGCCAATCCTGACCTCTATTGATTACTCCGCCAACAGAAGGCCAATGTGTAGGTATGTTTACTCATATTGTTTCTCTCAGTCTGCTTATTCGCTTGACTGTCCTTCAGCAGGACCAACCCACTGCTTTCAAGCTCTGCTTCTGGAAAGGAGGCCTAGGTAAATATCAAAAGTAAAAACTTCAACCACTTTGATAAAAACTATAATATTGAGTGTCAGCCTCGTGTTTTTCATATATGTGCCGCTGGTTTGGGAACGTAGAAGTAATTAAGGGAGAAGTTCCAGGCAGGACTTTTTTTTTTTTTTTTATAAATCGCCATTCATGGTTTGAAAAGATTTCCAAAAAAGCTGTAAACAAATTTAGGGAAGTTCAACTCAGGTAAAGCCTCTAACAGTTTTTTTTGTTATGGACCTGCTTCACTCACTATGCCATTTATTCTGATTAGCTTTTCTGCTCCTACTGAGGATAATGACAATGCAGACTGAGTGCTTAGGGTTATGTTCAATAGTTTTATCCCCTTCTAAGCATTTTAAATGACTTATTTAGACTCAGCCTTTAAAATGTTCAATTGTTCTCTAACGTGACACAAGCTTCAGATTACTCTTCTTAATGCATTCCTTAAACAATTACTTTTTTTCTTGCCTTTCTTCCAAAACGTCTGATTTTCACTGGGCAGAGCAATAAACTTGTCAAAATCCACCTACCTTAGCTATGAATTTAGAGCTCTCATGGCTTTATTTCATTATTTTCCAATAAAAATTTTAATTGCTCCATCTTTCTGTTTATGTAGGTACCGTAAATAAATCTAAGGTTATCTAGAATTGTACCATTACCCTTGTTTGGACAATACACAAATTTTTGCAATGCATAGACGTTAGATTATTGTTTAAACGCGCCTCTCATCTTTTTCCCTGGTCTGTTTTTTGTTTGTTATTTATGATGCTGTTTGCTCACTCAAAACTTTGCTCTTATACAAATGTATGGATCATTTACTGAACAGCTGTGTTTTACTAAAAATAGATTACAAACAGTTGCATGCTATTTGCCAGTTAGGCGAATTTATTATTTTTATTTAGTGATGTTAGAGACTAAACAGTTTAATGCAAATGTGCATAAGACTCTTCAGATATCTGTGGCAAATTATGAAAACCATCCATATTTTTACACCCACTCCTCAATCATTTGCATTTAGTTTTAAACGATGGCTTCAAATCTACTTAAATAGGAACAAAAAATTTTTATACATATATATCTATGAAAAAGTTAAAGGGGTTTGAATCATTTTAAAAGGCACTCTAAAATTAATTAGGGGGTAGATTAGGACATATTTGACCCAGATTTGATTGCTTTTAATAAAACAGTTTTAATATAATGCAAGGAAATTCCCTAAAATGGTGTTACATTTGCATAAATTGAAATAAAAGTGACCTTACTCTGAAAAAAAAAAAGACAGGGATAAAAAAGATTTTTTTTCCCCCTCAAATTATGAACTTTTAAATTCTGAATCTCTTTTTCAAAGGGTGACTAACATTAGTTTGTCCCCTTTCAATAATGAATATATTACTTCTATTTATGCAAATACATGTCGGACAGGCTTGAGGGGGAACTCTTGTTTTTTGTTTGTGCTTTCCTTATTACATATGATTTCTACCATAAAAGTACTTGTAATTTTATAATATGTTGTAGTATTTTAGGAAAAGGCAAATAATACATGTCTTTAAGGCTCTACATTTGCTCAGCTTTCACCCAAAAGTTCTAATCTTATCCTTTAGTTTACTCTAACACCACCGCTTACTTTGACATATGGTCTGAATGAAAAGGCCAGCCTGAGGGGCATCACACTGTTCTTGTTTTATTATCTCTGTTGCAGCTGTATATCCTTATAAATCTGCATGAATTCTGCAGAATACTTCATTGTTAATGTGCATTTTAAATTTAACCCATGTCTGGACCAAATTTGGCTTTATACAGATGAGTCTAGACTTAATCAGGCAAATTGTATGTTGTTCAGAACATCTGTTTCAAATTGACAACCCCCTCTCCTTCCCCCATGGGGTTGCAGTACCCAAACTGATGCCTTATGTTAGTTGCAAAGAAAGTGAAAAGTTAATGAAATGTCAAGTATAAATTATGTTTTTTTTTTTTTTTTTTCGCTTAGATTATCTTTCATGGAAAACAAATGTAATCTGTCAAGCACTTTGTGTTGAAGCCACTCTCATTCTAAGAGTGAATTAAAAAAAATAGATGTCAAGCAGAAAGCAGATCTTGCTGTTGCTCTTACCAAGTTGGAGGGTAAGGTTGATAGAATTGGGGTACTGGATGCCATAGTACATGGACTGACTTTGCCACCAGGTGGGCTCCTCATTCCTGTTAAAGTCCGTCAGAAGGCTGGCATTGTGGTTCAGCTCAAGGTCTGATGCGTCACAGTGGTGACACAAACGGGTTGAGCCAGTTTGCATGCAGTAATCCTCAGGCGGGGAACCACATACATTTGATGCCACCACAGTGCGATTGAAGGCAATGTTCTCAAACTTGGGCATGCAACGGCTAGGGACTCCGTTCTCATCATAGCAAGTGTCCATTGCTGCCCAAACCCAGCAATGGAGGTACAGGTAATGGGAAAAGACAAAAGTCAGGATAGGAGAGCCTAAACCAAAGGATGCAGCCATGCCTACATCCAAACCCATACACTACAGTTCTGAAGTTGCAAACAAAAGAACAGAGCTTCATAGGAAAATGTAGTCCAGAATTAGAAAATAAGTCCACTCCAAAGTCCTGTTTGTCTACTTTCTCTGTTCTCCTTCTGCCGGGTTTCCAACATGTGTTCTCCTTCTGTGGAGTGGAATGAAGTTTATGTAAGGACCTCTCACTTCAGGAGCAAGCTGGAGACAGAGGATGGACAGGGGTGGGGGCTGAAAGACCCCAAAGACATTTCAAATTTCTCCACCTGCTGGGTAATTTTGAAAACTACACTGTGAATGGATTCACCTGGAACGAACTGGTTTTTATCTTGCATAATTAAAAGTTTGTCACCTTTGGAGTCTGAATAAGCATAGCAAGGAAGGAACAACTGCTTAAATACCTTCTGCAATTTGAGAATTAAAATTTGTTATTTGGGCTTGCAACAGAGTAGGTTGTTAAAAAAGATTATAAAAACTTTTCTGAATCAATAATTAGAATATATAAAAGTTCTTGATTTCAGCAAATAGTGGCTTTGCTAAGATTTTCAGGTTATCGTACTTCACAAAGGAGTATACCATAATCAACAAATCTGAAAATCTGTGTAGTGGTTAAAGGCCTGTTATGTGTGGTGTTAAATCTTGGGACCAAGATATCTAGAACATAGGAGGAGGATTAGTGCCATTGGAAAAAAAAGGAAAAAGGTAACTAATTTTTTTATTTTATTTCAGTTTAACATGGGAAAAAAGACAGATATTCTGAGATTGAAGTCAGAATTCTCACTTTTTTTTCTCAGAATTCTGACTTTAATCTCAGAATTCTGACTTTTTTCTCAGAATTCCGACTTTAATCTCAGAATGATTAAAGTCGGAATTCTAAAAAAAAAGTCAGAATTCTGACTTTTTCAACAAATCTGAAAATCTGTGTAGTGGTTAAAGGCCTGTTATGTGTGGTGTTAAATTTTGGGACCAAGATATCTAGAACATAGGAGGAGGATTAGGGCCATTGGAAAGTCAGAATTCTGACTTTTTTCCCATACTAAACTGAAATAAAATTTAAAAATCAGTTAACTTTTTCTTTTTTCATTGGCCCTAATCCTCTTCCGTAACAACGTCCTGATAAGTTATCTGGGTCTCATAAAATAGACCCCTAAATAAAACTTTAATCTATTTGTATGCATTTATTTATATTTATTGAATGCATTATTTGTCATTACTCATACTTGTATAATCTTAGATATTAAGACAAGCCTTCATTGTGTGTACATTGTTTTAATAAGTTATGGTTTGTGTCAAGTCTATGTATCATATATAATTTACTGTTATTATTTTTCTAGTTTATCAAGTATTTAAATGTATAGTTTGTTAGTCTTAAAATGGAAAACAAAACATTAAAAAAAAAGATTAATATTTTTAAAAACACAGTTATTTACTTGAACTTTGTAATTGTCTGATTTGTGTTGATCAAATAAAATCCAAAAGGATTGAAATACAGATTAAGATCCAATGTAATAATTACACTTGCAATGCACTGCATAAAGGTTTTTATTCTATGCTAAGAAAAAAGATCAAAACTGACCTGAAAGATTCATAATAATTATCAATTATAGAATATCATATTATACATTTGTCATTTTACTGTATAAAACAGGAATCTATTAAAATAAATAGAGTGGATGATATTTTACAGAAGCTGTGGAAACAGTTTACGGAATTATGAAAATGAAGCAAACTAGCTTAAAGTAATTTAATTTTAACTTGGCTTATAAGTAAGTGGTAAATGTCCTAATCTTAAATCACCAAAATCAGGTGGACAATGCAGTTTTCACTGTTCTCCACCAGAGCATGAGCTCAGACCCTATGTTACAGAATTACAGGATAGCAGTTATATGCCTTGAAAGTTACCTTTACTCACATTAGAAAGTACAGAGCTAAATCTTAGGAGTGTGGACAGCTTACTGCTATATGCATCATGCCAAATGATGAGCTGCTCTGCATGAGCCAATACTCTATGAATACCCAGTTAAAGCCATGGTGTGAACTGGATGTATTCTGGCAGGCACACGGATAATTCAAGGTGATGCTGTGGGCAGATGTTTGCAAAAATAATTAACAGAATTAATCATTGAAGCAGGACCTGGCATTGTACCTGATATTAAATTACTGCTTTGAAAGACCTTCACATTTCATAAACAGCAGCAGCGTCATGGCTAGACGTTCTTTTGTATGTTTGTTCTAAATCAAAAATAAAGCAGATCCTCAACCAAAGTTTTAATCAAAACTACTAAATACATTCACTTCGACAATAATGCAGCAAAAATAGTTAACGCATTTCAAACTTAGATAACCTGACATATTTATTTAAATGATTCTATATGGAAAAGAAAAAGGTAATCATTTACTTTTACACTGAACAGATTTTCTAACCTATAGCTGCACTCAACACTTTTAGATGAGTAACTGAGAGCATTGAAATGGTTTCTGGTACTTATTAATAAATACCAAATTAATGGATAATTTTAAGTATTTGTACTTCTTTATATCTAGAACTGTTTCACAATTTTCTACCTTTAGGATTATCATAGTGTAAATGAATATACAGTATGTCAATTAGATATCTGTGGTGGTCCGTCCAGTGAGGCACAAGGACAAAGGCAAACAGACAAAGTATTTTTTGTTATTTATTTCCAAAAAAATCTTCACAAAAAAGGACTTAAATCAAATCTAAAAAAAATATACCAAAATGTGCCCAAAGGAAATCAACTAAGGCATACCTAACCCAGGATAACAAACCAAAAAACTGACCTCATACAATGAACACACAGGGGAATTTATACATAAAAGGCTAGCCTACACAAACGAGGAGGGATGGGAGATGAGACAAAGACAAACAATGCATGAACATAAATAGCTAATTCAAACCAACACATTTTGACTACAACACAACTATCAAAGGAAGACAACATAACACCAAAAATGTTTTAATAGTTATGCCATAAGTGGAGAGAGAGAAGCAGACTCCAACATCCAGTCCCCTGCTTCCGGCAGCCTGATGGCACGTCCCACTTCCTGGTTTGCCTTTCAACCAGTCTTCTCCACTCAGAGAGTGCTTCAAACTCAGCAAAGAAAAGTAGTTATTTAAAATAAACAAAAGTTGGTTACTAAATGTGTGCACCCATAATAGTAAACAACCTAATGGCAAAAAAAACACCACAAAAGTGAAATTATAAATGTATTGTGTGAAGACCTTTAAATAAATAAATACTAACACTGATTCTTTAGATGTATCTAAATAACTCAGTGTAATCTGATTATTTTTATGAAATCTGTCACTGATTATTTATCAAATGTCTAAAGTGGTTTGATGAAATATAGATCAATCCACCTTAAATATATATTTTATTACCCAACATGTTATATTTTTCAATCAGAAGTTTTTTGTCTGCATAACCCAACCCAGACACCTTACCTCTACCTTTTCTCTTTTTCTTGACATTATTCTGACCCATGTCAAGCTACAGTTAGAGAAAAAGATGCAAGAAGACAGAAACAAACAAATAGCCATTCTACTGATGACAAATGTGGGTTAGGTTAAAGTTTTTGGTAGAGATTTTTTCCTGAATTTCAAGCTAACTAAAAACATGCTGATTATGATCAATTTAAAAATATTGTTTAGTCAATATATACTGCATATTCCACATTGAAAAAAAGAGACAGAAGATAGACTTGATTGGCACCCACTTCTTCTTCACATTTTGTAGCTGCTGTCACAATATTACCTTCCTTTCCAAGCAGACCAGGGTAATGCTTACCTGATCAACAGCATATTGTGAGATGAGGGAATATTAATTTTGTGGTCATTGTTGTAATATCTGAGAGTCATTTTTGTTTAATCTGTAGAAGTGGTGCACATATCACAGCGCTAAATTAGGACATTTGCAATTATGTGAATATATTCCCAATAACACAATAAAACCCTACAATGAGACAAAAGACCTCCTATGTGGCAAATTATTACAATTCTTGAAATAATTGTTTGTTTTTTGCACGTCTTTTATTTATACAGCATAATAAAATGATTTTCATCTTCCAAATTAAGTTTAAATGAAGGGGTCAGATGTAGAAGGCACCATCTGGGTTTATTGGAGCATGATTCCGTACTCTTTAATATTTAGGTTTTCGCTTTAAATTTGTCCCTTTGCACATGTCGCGTGTATTGACATTGCTCTGCAGCGAGATTGATTAGATGTTCCATCTGTTTGCCTTTGATTTGTCTGTTTGCATGTGTTTAAGCTGCAGTAAGTGGAGATTTCTTGAACACCGTAGGTGGCAGATAGTAGGACAGGTAGTGTGCGCACATGCATTTAGATGCCATATGATCCCTATGGGATTTACTGCAAAGTCTTTCACATATCTTCTTGTGATTGCTTTGACTTATTGCGGCTCTGTCAGTACTCAGACAGGGACATTGTAAAGAGGACGACATCAATTTGCAGTGAAATCCTCTTCTGGATTATGGTAAGAGCATGCTGGGCTTCAAATCTATTCAGCTGTAAGTAGATCAACCATCATGATAAAGAATCTAAATGATTTTCTACCTCTGTTGGAGTAGATTTGCAATTCCACCAGAGAGGACAGGAGCATTTACAATCCTTAAATGACTATTTACCTCTGAAATCAACTTTTTTTTTGCTGATAAACTGTATAGAGTACATAGATGTCATATAGTGGTGCCTATGTGTCCTAGGAGTTTATTTATACATTTCACGGCACAATTGTTAAAATCCTACTTTTATGTCTAAAACTGCCTGTTGTGCCCCCTCACCCTTAAGATGGGGTACTGTGTCTTATTTTCATATTATCCTAGCATGTGCTGTGACCTCATCAAAGGAGAATTAAGGTCAGCAGTTCTACCCTGGGTAGCTGCTCTCTCCTAATTCGCTCATCCTACACACAGTTGTTCACCTAGGGACTGACAACAAATAAAATTACTTTACCTGATAATGAAACGTATAAAAAAAATCATGATTTTCATACTTATTAAACTATTAAGTCCATCAAAATTTAACAAAAACAAAAGCTAAAAACAACCAAAAAAAAGTCTGCATCACCAACTTTGGGGTTAAAATTATCAAAAAATAAACCATGCACAAAAACACTACAAAAAGGAGTATGCCTCATTTTTCTTTTTCTTGT